AATGGATGTTCACAGCTGTGTCTCTTCATTTTGAGTTGTGCCCCATCAGCAAGTGAAGGTCCTGAAGGCTTTTCTCCATTCACATCATCCCAGTCAACTTTACTTTGAGGAGGCAGTTCTTCCCTAGTTGTAGTTTGAGTGCATTCCAACCTGAGGGGTTCATCTTATGGCACTATATTTGGCAATATTCTGTGTTCTTCATTGTGTTTCAATTTTCAATATTCTGGTGCTGACAGTGTTCCACTGCTATTCATAGGGTTTTCAGTCACTAAATATTCTGAAGTAATCAGTCTCCCCTTCTTCCTAATCTTTGTCTGGAAGCTCATCTGAAACCTGTCTTCTGGTATTTAAAATACCCGTAGCATACCTTACTGTATCATAACAATACACAAGCCACCACAGTATGATAAATTTACAGACCAGTGGTGGGTGCCATTTGTTGTACAGCATTAAATAAAACAATGTCTTAAACTTTAAAAAAAAAAACAAAAAAAGTTTCTAAGATCTCATGTTCCCTTTCATTTTTATCTAATCTTTCTCCTCCCCCATTACACCAAAACTTCTCCAAAGACTGGTCAAAACACTATATTAAAATACTCTCTGATCCCACTATTCCACTGAAATGATTTTCAATTTTAATCTGACTAAATTCCTCTATTGTTTTTGACATTATTGATCACTCTTCTTTTTAGAACAAATCCAATCACTTGACTTCCATGATATTCTTGGTTTTCTTTATACAATGTGAGCATCTTTTTTGTTTTTATCATTTCTCCTTCCTCTGACTGCACCTGAAACATTGGTGTTTCTGCAGAAATGCTCCTCAGCTGATGGCTTTCTCGATTCTCTTTGGTTTCAACTACTATATACTGGCAATCAAAAGCTTAATCTTCAGCATACAACTCTCCTGTGAGTTTAAAAGACCTAAAACCAATTGTGTGATGGACAACACATCTCAAAACCAACATATAATCTAAAATGGAATTAATCATTTTCTTTCCCTAAAACCTATTCATCTTTAATCTTTTCACTCTCCTGCATAAAACCTATCAAAAGCTTCTCTTAGTACTTAGGATAAAATGTAAGTGTCTTCCCATGGTTTTTAAAGCTCCACTGGAAGTAGCCCCTCATCTTGGACTATAAACTCTTTCTAATGTAAACTACACTGGCTTTCTGACAGCCTTTTAAACGTCCAAGCTCTTACCTGCCACAAACTTTATTCTCACTGCTTGAGATACTTTTTTTCCTATTCTTCTCTGAGACTCTACTTCAATGCCACTTCCTTAAAGAAACCTTTCTTCACATCTTAATTTAAGTCATGTGCCTCTTGATACATTTTATGTTGTTCTTTTCAGACATAGACCTTATATCATATTTAAATATTTATTGACGTGTTTGCTAAAATTCTCATATCCTTCCCTGGACTCAATAACCCAAAAAGGGTAAAGAAGCATGCTCTTTTGTTTATGATTGTAAATCTGACTCATAGGACAGAGCCTAGAATTTAGTATAGACTCAATAAATATCTGAGAGTAATAGTGGATTGGTGGGAAAATCCTTGCCTTCCATGAAGGAGAACTAACAGTTCATGTGCAGGCAAAACCTGTCAGTGGAGACTTGGGTGTTAGTACAATGATGAATAGGTTACCATGGGACTTTCAGACCACAATGGACTAGGAAGAAAGACTTTGCAGTACCTCCAAAAATTAGCCAATGAAAACCCTTTGGATCTCATCCATAACCCATCAAGGGGATGTCACAGGATAAGATACTATTTCATTCAGTGTGCATAGGGTCACCATAAGTAATGGGGGGCACATCAATTGCAATTAAGAATAACAATAATTATACTTTACAGAACTGAAATCTGGGAGTCACCTTGACTGTCCCTTTCCCTACAACCTCTGTAACTAATCAACACCAGATCTTGGAGATTTTACTTCAGTTCCTTAACAATCTGTTTCCTCTTTTCTGTGCTCACTAACATTGTCCTGGTACAAGTTCTTTTCATCTCTGCCTTGACCACTGTGATGCCTCTCTAGCTGGGACCACTGTGATACCACTCTAGCTGGCCACCTTGAGTTCAGTTTCATCCCCTCACTTTCATCCCCCACACTGCCACCAGTGTGTCCTGAAATGTAAGCCTGACTCCATCCCTCCCCTGTGGCTTTAATAGCATACAGCGTAAAACATGTATTATATACCCTGACTTACGTAGGCTCTGGGAGTGGTCTGGTCCTCACCTACCTCACCAAATTCATTTGTAAACACAGCTGGCCCTCAAGCTCCAATAGCACCACACTGCAAGTGTTCCTCATTCCACTCTGTATATATTATTTCATGACTCTCTTCTTTGCAAATATGTTGTCAATTCTACTTGGAGAAGTAGCTACCCTATCACCATCCTAACTCTCTTCCCTTTAAGCTGGCTAATTCATACTCAGTTGCACTTGGATCAATGATCTCTTTCAGGGAGTCATCTTATACTCTCCAGAATGAGTCCCATGCCACCCTCACATTTTACAAGGTGCTTCTTCATTATTTCACTTAATTCTATTCAATTGTTTGCCTTTCCCTACGTTTCCTAGGTTCCTAGGTTGTGACTCCCTTAGGCCTGGTGTGGTGCTTGCTGTAGGATAAGTACTGGACCAAGGTCAGTTTGAACTGAAAGGTCAGTGGTTTATATTCACCAGCCGCTCTTTGGAAACCGTATACAGGGCTTAGAACCAACTTGATGGCACTTAACAACGAACATCGGAGTCCTGGTGTGGCGCTGTGGGTTAATGTGCTGGACTGTAAAGTTAGTGGTTCAAGCTCACTAGTCTGTTCCTTGGAAACCCTATACAGGGTTGCTATGGGTGGGAACTGACTCAATGGTACTTAACAACAACAACAAACATATAAATATCTGGGAGCATGATGGCTCCATATGATAAGCACTGGACAGTGAACGACAAGGTCTGCAGTTGGAGCCCACTAGCTGCTCCATGGGAGAAAGATGAGACTTTCTGCTCCCTCAAAGATGTAAAGTCTCATAAACCCTTTACAGGATTGCTATGAGTCAGAACCAACTGGATGGCATTTAACACCAACAATAACAAAATAAGAACATGTGCTAAGTTGATGACTATAATGAAAATATACAATTCAAAGTGAATCTGTGTCAGTGCTTGTGATCATGAAAACAGCTTAACTATAGGATTTACACGGAGCCAGAACGATCTAATATGATGCAGAATGGTTTGCTTCTCTGGATTTCATGTATTTGTCACCCAATTGCACTCCCAAGTCCACGCACTCTTTGTCAGACCTTCTTTGCTCCACAAGCTCGAATTCTGACAACAATTAATACTTGAAGAAGAAAGCATTCAGCACCATCATCCTTCACTGTTTAAGAGTCCTGGTTAGTTAACAAGCTCTGCAAATGAACATATTCACTTATGTCACAGCTGGCTCAAAGTTTCTGAGGTCTATGAAGTTAAGTCTCCCGTTACATTTTTCATCCTTGGCTGCAGTATGCTGAAGATGTGCAGACATGCCCCCACGTTATTTAATCAAAATGCAGTGCTTTTACAAATACAATTTTGTTCCTTAAATCTCTTTGAGTATTATCAAGTGTTCATATTAATTTTCCCAATTCCTAAACAATGAACAAAATACTGAGCCCTGAGTTAGTAGCAAGTTTTAGTTGCTTTAGGAACTTTTACACATTCTAAAGTGACAGTTGTGGTGATTTAAAGTATATCATTATTATTATAGATACATTCATATTTAGATTTATAGAGACAGATGAATAGATACAGAAACCATTGTAGATATGTTTGTATGCATGGACTGGTATACATACATACATGTATTGCTTAGTCCTGTCCGCTGACAGTGATACCTCAATAATAAAAAGTGTATCCAGAGCCCAGATCTTGGTTTTTAAATACCATCCTCCAATAAAAGGAAACAGAGTTTCTTAGGAAAATGGCTGGCTATAGAATCAGGGTAGGGGCCATACAATTTTTGTTATTTGTGTAAAAATACAGATGGATCTAACAGAAAAAAAAAAAAAAATCCCCAATGCAACATTCTTACTTCCTTGATGTGTATATTTGGGATGTATAGAGATATTTTATACAGAAATGGTATCATTTTTATGCATTTCTTTATTCTTTTAAATGACTGAACAGTTTTACAGGATCTGAATATACAATTTATTGCATAATTATTTACAAACAATACTGAATAAACATCCTGGTAAATAAATTGGGTGGTGGTGGTTGCGTGTTGTAGAGTTCGTTCTGACTCATAGCCAACCAGTATAGGGTTTCTGAGGAGTGGTTGGTGGGTTTGAATCACCGACCTTGCAGTCCAGTGCTTATTCTACAGCTCCATACCAGGACTCCTTTAACACCATTGTTGTTGTTAGGTGCCATTGAGTTGGTACCGACTCATAGCGAACTTATGCACAGCAGAACGAAACACTGCCCGATCCTGGGCCAACCTAACTACTGTTGCCACGCTTGAGTCCATCGATGCTGCCACTTGGCCAAGCCATCTTGTTGGGGGTCTTCCTCTTTTTCTCTGACCCTCCACCTTACTAAACATGATATCCTTCTCCAGTGACTGGTCCCTCCTGACAATATGTCCAAAGTATGAGAGACGAAGTTTGGCTATCCTGGCCTCTAAGGAGCACTCCGGCTGCACTTTAACACCGTAATAGGAAGTAAATCAACTAAATAGAACAGAATGGTGGTGTGCCATTGGGCAGTTCTGACTTATAGTGACACTGTGTAGGGTTTTCGAGGCTGTAAATCTTTATGGGAGCAGAAAGCCTCATCTTCCAGTAGTTGGTGGATTCCAACTACTGACCTTTTGGTTAGCTGGCCAACACGTAACCCACTATGCTACCAGACCTTCTTAAATAGAACAGAGTAAGAATTACTAAATGGATGAAAAGCTGCTAACTGCTTTCAAAAGTCAGATTCATGATCTCAGACTATCAACCTTACCCAGGTGGAAGAGACGTAAGTAAATTAAAGGCCATGATGAGAACTTGAAGGTACTTAAGATTTTCAATGTCAGAAGGGATTTCTTTGATGGGATTATTTCTCAGTTTTAAAATTTGTAGATTCTTAAGACAAAATACCTGGAGAGAATATAAGAGACACAAACATAAGCAGAATAATAAAGTATGCAAATTTCTTATTTGCTATGATTCGGGCTGCGAATCTCAAGGTCAGCAGTTCAAAACTACCAGCTGTTCCATGGGAAAAGATGAGGCTTTCTGCTCCCATAAAGATTTACAGCCTCGGAAACCCTGTAGAGGGTTGCTATGAACTGACTACATGGCACATAACCACCACCACACATTTTATAAAATCTGTAAGGCCGTAGAATCGGTCATGTTAACTGGATGTATCATATATCTCAATAAATACCTTTAGTGAGCCTTCAAAATAAAGGACCAGCATTAATATCTATGATATGGTGAAATAGAGCAACTACTGGATTCATACGCCCTTGACTCAAGAATGATTCTTCTTGAAATGGGAAACTCATTCTGCTTGACATTGGTAGTTTCATATTGCTGACCTTGAGATTCACAGCCCAATTTGTAGCAAATAATGAGTCAACTGGGCAGTGATGAAGGAGGAAGATAACCTGGGAACCAGGAAAATAAGTAGAACTAATCTCAGTCATCAGTGGGTGCTCATATATTATAGCCAGATTGTCCTCACTCTTATAATAGTAATTTCCTAGACACTGACTTTTCTATTGAAATAAAAAATACAATACATCATTTAAATGTATGACCTTTGCTTGATTAGGATAGCTTGCTTTCTCTGGTAAGTCGTAATAAGGTCTAATGCTATTGCTGTTAACTGTTAAATGACATTGAGTTGGTTCCGATTTATAGTGATCTTATGCACAACAGAATGAAACACTGCCCAGTCCTGAGCCATCCTCACAATTGTTTTTACATTGGGCCCATTGCTGCTTCCACTCTGTCATTCCATCTCATTGGGGGTCTTCCTCTTTTTCACTGATCCTCCACTTTACCAAGCGTCATGTCCTTCTCAAGGGACTGATCCCTCCTGATAAGATGTCTGGAATATGAGAGGAAAATCTCACCATTCTGTCTTCAAACAAGCACTCTGGCTGTACATCATCTGACACAGACTGGTGTGTTTTTCTGATAGTTCACAGTACTTTCAATATTCTTCTGCAATACCACAATTCAAATGCATGGGAACCTGTCCTTGTTTTGGCTGATGATATTGAACTTGTTTGTCTCTTCCCACAGATATAGTCAATTTCATTCCTGTGTATTCCATCTGGTGAGATCCATGTGTATTGTTGCCTTTTATGTTGTTTAAAAAGGTATTTGCAATGAATAAGTCATTGGTCTTGCAAAACTCTATCATGCAATTTCCAGCATTATTTTTATCACCAAGGCCATATTTTCTAACTATTGATCCTTCCTCTTTGTTTCCAGCCTTCATTGTTGTGGACCGTGTAAGACTGGTCAGAGGTTCGAGGCCCTATAGGCCCGAGTGTAACAAATGAGTCCACTGGTAGTTAATGGCAAAGTGTTTTTCATCTTAATATTGTTACATGTATTAATTTAATACACGGAGCCTTTGATAATCCACAGATAAATGTGATATTTTCCTAAAGCCTAAGACT